GGCTGCCCCGGGGGGATCGCGGCGGCCGCCCGCGCCGGACAACGACCCCGGCGTGCGTGTGCGCGCGTGTGCATGCATATTCCCGCACGCATGCACGAGGGTGTGCATGTCTCTCCATTATGTCTGTGCACGTGCGTGCCTGCATGCTGTGTTCATGCATGCGTTTGTGTGCGTGCACAAGTGTGTGCTTGGATGTGCCTATGAGTTCGTGCTTGCATGTGTCTGTCTGCATTCATGTATCTGCATGTGTGTACATGCACGTGTGTACATGGCTGCGTGCATGCATGTGCGTGCGTGCATGTGTTTGTGTGTGCGTGCATGTGTCCACGTGCATGCAGGAGTGTGTGCATGTGTCTCCATTTGTGTGCATGTCTGCGTGCATGCATGTGTCTGCGTGCGTGCATGTGTGTGCATGCATGTATCAGCATGTGTGCATGTCTTTGTGTTTGTACATGCACGTGTGTGCGTCTGAGTGTCTGTGTGCGTTCATGTGTGTGCGTGCATGTGTGTGTCATATTGAATGTAATAGTTTGAATGTTTGTAATAGCTGCCCATTAGCCAGTTCAGGAAGATGACAAGATTCATCTTCTTATCTAGGACATTGTTTTATTCTACATGCAGAAGGTCCTGACTTTGCTCAGAGTTTTAACTCTTGAAATTTATCTTTAGAGGCCTTTAACAAAGATAACCTAAAAATGACCCTTAAGCAAACAACCCGAGAGATCAAGCCCTAGGGCCTTTGAAAAGATTGGAAATAAAAGGTCAATTCAGTGATATGCACGTGTGCATATGTGTGCATGTCTGTGTGCGTTCATACATGCATGTGCCTGTGTGCATGAGTCTGCATGTGTGCGTGTGCCTGCCTGTGTGTGTGTGCATGCATGCGGCGTGTGCATGTGTGCATGTCTGCATGCATACATGCATGTGTGTGCATGCACTCCTGCATGTGCGTGTGCCTGTCTGCACGTGTGTCTGTGTTCATGGCAGGAAGAGTATATTTGTGTCTGTGTCCATGTGCAGAGAGTGAGTGTCTACAGTGTGCTCCCATCTGCATGTGTGCGTGCGTGCATGCATCTATGTTCATGGCATGGAGAGCGTGTTATTGTGTCCACGTGCAGAGTGAGTGAGTAGAGCGCACGCCTGTCTCTGCATGCATGCATATGTGTCTGTGTTCATGGCAGGGAGAATATGTTTGTGTCTGCGTGCCCATGTGCAGAGAGATGGTGCGTCATGAAGGACATGTGCCCACGGCGGTGACGGGAGCACGACAGTGGTGGCGGGAGAGTGGCGGTGCGAAGCGGGAGCTCCCGCAGGCGGCACTGGTGCTGTCAGCGGTCGGAGGGTGGCGGGGAGGTGGCGAGCACTGACCAGGGGGCAGCAACCACCCAGAGACCTTGCCAGCAATGTCGGCGGTGCGTTTTTGTACGGGGTGCAGTGCCACGCTCAGGGGGTGCATGTGTACATGCGTGCATCCCTACACATTGCCCCTGTGGTAAGTAGTGTCACACAAGGAACAATGGTCGCAAACTGACAGAGAGCAGATTTAGGCTAGGTATCAGGAAAAACTCCTTCAGAGTAAGGGTGCCCAAAATTTGGAGTGGGCTCCCAAGGGAGGCGGTGCTCTCTCCCACCTCGGGGGTCTTTAAGAGAGGGCTGGATAGGCACCTGGCTGGGGCACCTGGCCCAGCGCTCCTTCCTGCCCAAGCAGGGGGTCGGACTCAATGATTGTTGAGGTCCCTTCCCACCCTAGCATCTGTGAATCCATGCTTAAAATATACTGTTTTGTCAACCTTCAGACCTAGGAGACTTTACATTTTCTCACGAGAGCACGCTACCAATATCCAAGGTGGTTAGCACGTGGGCACTGCTTTATAGTTATTTTTTTTAATGTTTGCATGAACTGATCTCCCCAAGCTCACAAAATGACTTTTTATTCTTCTACTTCACCT